GCACACACGCACGCCCAATGTATTTCAAACCACTGGGTCCAGGACTCAAATGGTGGTCGGCCATGTGGGAGTCCAGAGACATAACCACTACATCAGCTGCTGGTCCCTATTTTGTGTGATTTTTAACAAATCACTTTTTACAGGATTTTCTTTATTCTTCTGTTTAGGTTTCTACCATAGGGCACGTGCACTTGTCAGAGAGAGAGAGAGAAAGTGGGAAATCACCCCCGTGGGGTAGCATAGATGGCCATGCAGAAGTCTCTTCTCCTCCACTCTCTTCCCAGGAGTTTGTGCACACACACACACAGGCATGTGATTTTCAAGCCACCAGAACCAGGACTTGAAACACGATCAGCCATGTAGGATCCAGCTTCCTTAACCTCTATGCCACCTGCTGGCCCCAGAATTTTTTTTTGCTCTCTTCTGAAAATCAGGGAAATCAGAATTAGACTTTTTTTTTCCAGAGGTTTTTTGCTATAGGGCGTATGCACTCGCCAGACAGACAGAGAGAGACAGAGAGATAGAAAGTGAGAAATCACCTCCCAGGGGGGATGGCCACACTGCAATCCCTTCTCCTCCATTCTCCTCTTGGGATCTTGGGCACGCACACATACGCACCTGGCGTGAGTTTTAAGCCACCAGGTCCGGGACACAAACTGCGGTCATGTGGGAGTCCAGAGACATAGCCATTACGCTAACTGCTGGTCCCCGGAATTAGACTTTTTTTAAAAAAAGAATTATTTTATTTAACTTTATTTATTATTATTATTATCATTATTATTTTCCAGTTTGATCAGAGAGAGACAGAGGAAGTGAGAAAGCAAGCCACCAGGTCTGAGACTTGAACCTTCGTTGGCCATGTGGGAGTCCAGCACCCCAAACCACCATGCCACTTGCTGGCCCCAAAATTGGACTTTTTTGTTCTGTTCTTTTGACTCTAATTCATCTATGTTTTGTAATATACTTTTTGCCAGGGACCAGCCTCGGCAGGGGTGGGTTGGCTCGACGGAGGCAACGCTGGAAAGAAAGGAAGACAAAGGCCTCGTGCTTTTTCATGCATGTCCTAAGTCAGACACTCCTCTAGGATCACTCTCTGAGGAGTGACAACTGCTAGGAATCACCGTGCCTTTTTATTGAAAATGGGATACATGCAAGTAAATGGGAGAGGGGCTACGTGTTCTAATGATCAATTCATAAAGTTTTAACAATTGAGATAAAAGATTCTATTCAGGTTTTAATTAACGGTGGATCTATTAATCATCGATACAATTGAACAATTGATTGATGTAAGCAAGCTTTTGGGAACTTCTGTTCTGGGAGTGTGGTTTCGGAGAACAGCTCCAGCAGGCAGTTAATTATCAGCCAGTACTTGGCGGCAGCCGTCTTGCGGTTACTGGTTGTGATTCAAACAAAGAAAATCTCAAGTACAGATATTAATTCTTATGGCTCTCAATAAAGAATGATGTTTATATAATTCTATAGAGATCTAAAATTTATTTAAAAGAATTTTAATATATTTACCTATCCTGAAAGGGTGAAGTTAGTGTTCACTTGATGAGGGCAGGAATACAACCCTTTCTACTGGTGGTGAAGTGACTAATGAGTTAATGGAAAACTTTGTGGCACACCTAGGCATTCTTATTGTGCTTGTGGCGCCACTGTCATGTACTTTGTTAGAACATTAGCTACAGTGAGGCAGGGGTGTCCTGGGTCAGTTTCTGCCTAAAAGGTAATTTTTAAGTTTATATAAATGTGTTTTGAAAGGCCTTCCAACGATCAAGAAGAACTTTAGCACACCCTTTATTGTGCCCAATGAAGTGTTGTAATTATCAGTAAGTGGTCAGGGTAAAGGGGAGCGGTCGGGGAATTTTGGGGAAATCTTGCTACAAATATGTATGGGAAAACTATGTAATTCTTTTATAGTAATATATCGGGGAGTCAGAGGGGGATCACTTCCCAGCAAGGCTATCACAGTCCCGGAGCGAATAGCAAGCGGCCTTGCCAACATGCTAAGTGACCCAAGCTTGTTCCAAGGTCTGGGGGCATACAGTAGCGGCCCTGCCAACTTACTGAACCGACCAGAAGCGATGCTCAAAGATCAAAGGGCTCAGATGGGTCCTGGAGCCCCACCGGGTCGGACTCCTCCACTTTTACATTTTTATATTGTCAAAGTTTATAAATTTATAGTTGTTCCATAACGCTAAGTAATCCCTGTAATGCCTATAGGGTTATTCTATTTCTTAAAAACTAGTAAGGAATATTTGGGGACCAGCAGTTAGCATAATGGCTATGTCACTGGACTCCCATGTAGTCGACTGCGGTTCACATCCTGGACCTGGTGGCTTAAACTCATGCCAGGCACGTGTGCATGCGTGCACAAGATCCCAAGAGGAGAATGGAGGAGAAGGGATTGCAGTGTGGCCATCCCCCCTGGGGGGTGATTTCTCATTTTCTGTCTCTCCGTCTGTCTCTGTCTGTCTGGCAAGCGCACACGCCCTATAGCAAAAACCTCTTAAAACAAAAAAAAACTAATAAGGAATATTAACAACTCATAATACTTTATAATTATGTAAATATTATTTACAATAACATCAAGCATGTGACTCCAAAAAATAAAAACTATAGGCCAGCAGGTGGCAAGGAGTTTAAGGCACTGAATTGCACATGGTCAACTACGCAGTTTGAGTTCTGATCTGGTGGTTTGAAACTCATGCCAAGCGCATGTGCATGCATGCCCAAGATCCCGAGAGGAGAATGGAGGAGAAGGGATTGCGGTGTGGTCTCTCTGGGGGATGACTTCTCTCTCTGTGTCTTTGTCTCTCTCTGGTGAGCTCACATGCCCTATAGCAAAATTAAAAACAAAACAAAGAGGATCATAATCCTATGGTATTAAACCTGTGCCTCTTAGAAGATAATTTTTAAAAAAACTTATATTTTTATAGATTTTTGCTATAGGGCACGTGCACTAGCCAAAGAGACAGAGAAAGATAGACAGAAAGTAAAAAAATCATCTCCCAGAGGTGATGGCCACACTGCAATCCCTTCTCCTCTATTATCCTCTCGGGATTTTGGGCATGCACGCACATGTGCCTGGCATGCGTTTTTTTTTTTTTTTTTTTTTTTTTTTTTTGAGAGGTTTTTCTTATAGGACGCGTACGCATGTGCTCACCAGACAGACAGAGACACAGAGACAGAAAGCGAGAAATTACCCCCCAGGGGAGATAGTCACGCCGAAATCCCTTCTCCTCCATTCTCCTCTCGGGATCTTGGGCACGCACGCACATGCACCCGGTGTGAGTTTTAAGCCACCGGTTCCGGGACGCGAACCGTGGTCGACTATGTGAGAGTCCAGCAACATAGCCATGACGCTAACTGCTGGTTCCTGCCCGGCACGAGTTTTAAGCTGCTAGGTCCAGGACTCGAACCACAGTTGACTACATGGGAGTCCAGGCACGTAACTGTTATGCTATCTGCTGCTCCCCCAAAACACTTATTTGTTTCTATATTTGTTGCGATTTTCAAGTCACCAGGTCCAGGACTTAAACCTTAGTCAGCCATATGGGAATCCAGTGCCTTAACCACCATACTACTTACTGGCCCCAGAAGAAAATATTAGAAAGCCAACATCGAATGGACTTTTTATTTCTTTCCACTCTCCAGATCATACTCAATGGCAGGGGTTTCTTGTAGCTTACTATGATAATGTTTTGTTCCCTTTTTTGGCTGAGCAATACCCCTTTGAGTACTTTTCTTTGTAAGTGGTGGGTGGGTGGTAAGCTTCCTCAGATCTGAATTCTCAATTTCATATGCATGGAATCAGAGTACGTGCACCAAGACCTAGAGCATAGGAGTGGTGGTTAAGGACACTGGACTCTCACCTGGCTGACTGCGGTTTGAGTCTGAAACTGGCAGCTTTCTCTCTCTCTCTCTCTCTGTCTCTCTCTGGTGAGTGCATGAAACTTAAAAACAACAATAGTGATGATAAATAAAATTAAATAAGTAGGGGTCAGTAGATGGTGTAATGGTTACATCACTGGACTCCCACATGGCCCAAACTCATGGTTCAGTCTTGAAACACATGCTGGGCACTTGTGCGTGTGTACCCAAGATCCCAGGAAGAGAATGGAAGAGAAGGGATTGTGGTGTGGCCATTCCCCCCGGGGGTGATTTCTCGCTTTCTGTCTCTCTGTCTCTCCAGCAAGCACATGCGCCCCATAGCAAAAGTCTCTCTTATAAAAAAAAAAAAAGTTGGGACCAGCAGAGGGCATAACGGTTGCATAACTGGACTCCCATGTAGTCGAGTGCAGTTCAACGCTGGCCCCGGCAGCTTTAAACTCACACCAGGTGTGTGTCCTACGTGCCCAAGATTCTGAGAGGAGAATGGAGGAGAAAGGATTGCAGCGTGGCCATCCCCCCTGGGGGGTGATTTCTCACTTTCTGTCTCTCTGTCTCTCTCTGTCTCTCTGGCAAGCACACATACCCTATAGCAAAAATCTCTCTTAAAAAATGGAAGAAAAAAGTTTATTTTTTAAAAATGCAAAGAATATAAAGATCCAATTTATAGAAAAAGCAATACTAATGACCAATAAATGTACAAACAAATTCTCAACTATACTAGTCATGAAAATCCCAAGAGGAGAATGGAGGAGGAGAAATTGCTGCATGGAGAAGGGATTGTGGCATGGCCATCCTCTGTGGGGGGTGATTTCTCACTTTCTGTCTCTCTGTCTTTCTGGCAAGTACACACGTCCTATAAAACCTCTTGGGGAAAAAAAAAGTCCTTAGCGTCTCCTTATCTCTCTCTCTCTCTTTCCACCACCTCTCTTCTCTCCAGTGCCCTCACTTGATTTGCTGCCTCACTTCCCAGAAAGCTAGACTCTCCTGCCTAAGCCCTACTGTGCCTCCATCATACTTGAGCCAACCGAAGCCAGTTCCTGGAGCAGGGAGATGGCCCGGGAGCCCTGAAAGGCTTTGCTTAGTGAGTCCCTCTGTGCTTTCAGGACAGTGAGACCAAGGACGCCAGCAGAATCAAAATTTGCTTCGAGTTCCTGGGGCTGTGGACAACGTGCAAGATGCTGACGGCAGCCGGCGGAGGCTGCTGTGCCCTGGCCGTCCTGCTGGTGATTGTGGACATCCACCCTGGTGGTGAGGACAGACCCCTCCCGTAGCCATCAGGGAGATAGCTGGGCTCAAGAGAAGGATGGCTCGCATGATTCTTTTCTGGTGGGGAAGAAAAGGGCAGAAAAAAGTTTTGTGGGACCAGCAGTTGGCATAATGGCTATGTCTCTGTCTTTCTGGCAAATGCACATGCCCTATAGCAAAAACCTCTCAAAAAGAAAAAAAGAAAAAAAAAAAAGAAAGAAAAAGGAAAAGGAAAGGTCTGGCTCTGCTGCATTGCTTAAGATGGGCTGAATCTCAAATGGAAACTGCGGTTCAAATTCCCACAGTGGTTATCAGGCATGTATGTGAGTGCCCAAGATCTAAGCACCCCTCTCTCACTCTCATATGTGCACACATGCTCTAACATGAATGAAAAGAAAAAATAATATTTTTTTGAGAGGATTTTTTTTTTTTTTTTTTTTTTTTCTTTGGGGCATTGGCGCGCAA